TTCCCTTCCATTTCTCCAGTCAGCGCTGGAGGATCGGAGAGAAGAGGGGGGAATCCCTGCGGAGAGCGGTGACTGACAGTCACTGATCTCTGCAGGAAGAGGATCGGGAAGTCAGTGATTGGCGGTGTGTGTTCGCTGACTTCCTGATCAATAGACCTGACCTGTGACAGCTTTGTCACATGTGAGTTTGAATTATGGATATGAGTGTTTTTCACCCTATAATTCTCCTTTAATGGCTAAGTTATGTTACACGCATATTTAGGGTGTAAAATTAAACATGGTCAGATTGCAGACCCCCCCCCAACCCCCCCCCTCTTCAGTTGTTTGAAATCAGCATTGCCACTCAGGCTGCTACTTTATAGGGACAGCCCTGTCTACCCTACCACACCTATTGCCAGCATAAGTTTTGCATGCCTCCGGAGCAGCTAACATTTGCTAAGCTTAAACGTTTAGTGTAATTGCTATGAATAAATAAGCTATATAAATAGAATCAAGATTAACATTTGCTGACTTGACAAATAGAGATGTACAGATCATGAATATTATGTTGCTCACCTAGACATATAATGGTGTGAGAATGTGAGTCAGAACTTATAAAATGTTATTTTATGATTTCACTTCAGCTTCTAGAACCTGGAATTGGTGTAAGCCATTGATTCCAGGAACAGGACTAATCACTGAAGTAATGAAATCAGTGTGTGCTTATGTAATTATATTGAAAATAATCTAGGCAATAAGCTGTAACCATATCAAATAATTAATTAAGAGTAACTGTTCAGGATTTATATCTCCGCTTTAGCTTATTTATTTAGTGTCTGGCAGTTTTCCGCATAAGAAAGTGTTACTGGTCCCTCCAGGTAGACAGACAAATGGTTATAGTTCTATAATCACAATACAAGATAGAAAACAGCATCAGGTGACAATTTACAATTCGCCTCTTTCTGCATTAAAAACAATATTGTTAATTTCATTTTTAATTTCTGAAAATTATACTGTTTAGCTCATTTAAGATTTAGTTCCTATGAGTCTATTTAGAAACAAAATTGAGGAAGACACATTACACTACATTACACTTGTAAGAAGAAAAAAAATACTTATTTACAGTTTTGTGTAACTTTGATTTTCATCGTTTCACAAAAGGTACAATTTAAATTGATATGTTTATGACCTAGTACAGTTTTATGTTTTAGATTTAGCTCGAATTTTGGAAATTAAGTTCTGTTTGTGTGTGATAATAATGATATTATTGTATTTAATAATAATAATTAGATTTTCATAAAAACATTGTTTTGATAAGCATTTGTGCAACTATCAGGGGTTGTACAACATTAGCAGTAACCATAATGTTGTTTCCTTTCAGTAGCTCCCCTAAGCAGTCCCCCCGTGAGAATGGGAAAACCATTTACAAGTTATACGTTTGCTTGTAGGTGACCATTTAATGCACACTAACAACTTACACTTTTTGAGTTATGTGAATGTAAAGGCAAAAGCGTAAAACTCAACATAGACATTGGCCACTGTGTGAATCAACCTGGGATCGCTGCCCTATAAAACTGTCCATACACTGCTGAAATCTCAGCTGATTCGTGCTGAAAGGGGATGAAATTCGAGCTGTGGGTGGTCCTGTCAATTTTCCAATTGACTTTTTTTGAAGGAACCAGTCTGAAAATTATTGGCAGTTAGATTGGGTATTCAGTAACAGCAACATCTGAATACAATAGCTGGTAGCTGGGGATTCCTCCATCCACATTCTTTAACGTGGATGGGGTAATCAATGCATTTGAAGTGTGTATGGCCAACTTTATACCACAGATCTAATCACTGAACTGATCTACTGAACTTTCTGTTTTGCAAAATTATGAAGAAAACTGTTTTGCTTGTATAAAAAAAAAAATAGAATACATTACATACATGTATCCAACACATTTCTTAGTAGAGACATGACATTGTTATTCATTTTCTGCCCTGTATTATTTAAAGCAAAATGACGAATCAAGGAAGGTTTTATTAGAACCGTGAATGTCACAAATTGTACCAACACAAAAACCCTAATTATTTCATGTGCCAACATCTTTAAAATATTATTATTATTTCAGCCATAAAAAACTTTTATCATATAGTTAGCTGTATTGCCAGCAGATTGTTTTTCCTATGTCATGAGTAATTATTGGGCACCAAAGACCGGCTGAATCATAAGCAGAGACTATCCATCTCATTATTAACATATATTTTTAAATGCATAACCCTCAGTAAACACAATCATTTAAAACATGTGATAGAGTTTATGCATATTGGACACTATTTTTGTTGGATGTTCCACTCTCTCTAAACACTGACCCTGATAACTAACTATTGCACACCACCTGACATATGTAGTTAAAGCTTATCTAAATCCAAAAACAAAAATTTAATTGATTGCAGCTTACCAGTACATAGAGGTGGTGGATACATTTGTTTTCACTTCCCTGGCTAAGAACATTTTTTGCAAGTATAGAAAATACCTGTTGATCTTGCCAGAAATGCAGTGTCTTCCACGCTTGCTTACAAGAGATCAAAGAAGCCTTATCTTTTTTTTAATTTAAGCTACTAGTGCGCAGGAGTTACTTTATGTCTGGTAAACTGCAGTATATAACATTTTTGTTGTGGGATTTTGATGAAATTTCAAGGACAGTTAATATTACCACATATAGTAACCTTTAAAGTGGAATTCCACCCCAGAACATTTCTAGCATTAGGTAAAGTAAGGGTTAGAACTGTTGGGTGGTCCAGCTTTTTATGTTTTGGGAAAAAATTAGAACACCCATCAGGCTGCTGTTATTACTATTTGTGCCCTATTTGGGAGGTTTCTTCTTGCTTCTATAAAACCTTACAAAGATTCGAAACCTTTCCGTCTCTATCCAAAACATGTTTTGCTGGAGTTCCATTTAAAGTATAACTTTTGTTTTTTAATATTTCATATTGGCCAGTCCAATCTCCCAGTTTGGTAGAAAGACATTGTATTGGGTTAGGGCTGTAGAAGGTTTTACCACCTATAGTTATCACCAACTTCAAACATTGGATTGATACCAGAACAGATAGTTTATAAGAATACCAAATTTTCTGCAAAATTTGAACCAGTGCAAGGTTTATAAAATGAAATTACATTAAGCATGTGCCATGTTCATTAGTATACATTTACAAAGATAACAGAGATAAGAAGATGCTGTATTTGCTGGATAAACTATAGCTTGGTGGACACAGTTTTATCATGGTTTCTTTATGATGATTAACTGTGCCACAAAAGTAGAGTCTGGTGGGCAGAACTAGGTTGTAATATCGCTTGGGACGTTGGTTTCCTCTGTCGTCAAGTGGCATTGCTCTTATTACAGTAAGTTAGTTTCCTCTCAATCTGCATTGTTTCCAGTATAAAATATTTTAGAGGACAAATCAACTTTTATTAAAAACTGTTAGCCCACCTTCCTTAGCCCGTTAATGTCAAAAACCCAACTCAGCTGTTTAACTATTTCAGCATGGCATAGTGAGTCTCTACCAGTTTTTATCCTCCTCTGGGTTACAATCTTCAGCAGAGGCCACACCTACATGGTAAGCCCTCATAGGCTTCAATGGGGCTGTACCCTAAGCATCTCTTGGAGGATGGACCTATATAAGTCTGTGGGGGCTCACTACACCAGCACAACCAGCATTTTAGCATGGAGGAAGTGAACACCTGAGGATACAGAGATACCATGCTGAGGTACATAAAAAGCTGGGTTGGGGGTTCCAGGTTAGTTTAGATTAAGAGGTTAAGGAAAGTGGACTAATTTAAGCAGATGCAGATTACTTTTTTCCTACTTTTTTCAGGTGCAGATTACTTTTTTCCTAGAGCTGTATTCTAAACTATTGGTTCAAAGATACAAAGGTACATGTTTGCATGTAGGGAAAGGAGCTGTGAGGTTGAAGTATACTGTTGGAAGTCTTTCTTAAAGTCTAACTCCGGTGAATAACACTGGGCATCATCCCATTTGCAAGACCAGCGACAGTGGCGTAACCAGAGTTATGGGCGTCCCCCCATATTATATAAACATCCACTAGAACTGTACCCCCCACCCCCACACATATATATCAGCTAAGGAACTACAAGTCCAAGCATGCCATCATTGTCCCTGTACACCCCCCCACACACACACGCACACATATCACCCAGGGAACGGGTGTATGTTTTACACAAATATATTTGTGCAACATTACTCTTGGATTTCCCAAATCTCTGGAATTACTATGATGGAAATGTTCTATTGGCTGCAGTAAATTATTTACCCAATCTATCACTTTTATCTAAACATGCATCATAGTCTGCATAGCAATAACTTTAGTAACCAGGGCTCAAAGACCTCTAATAAGACAAAAATATAAAGACCTAATCGGCACCAGTTAACAATCTCGTAGTTGGAAAACTAAAATGTATCTAATGCCAACATTTATTTCAGTTTTGCACAATGGTAAGGGCCCGGGGTTAGAACCCTTGTGCAGTTTTTATTGCTGGCTATGTCCATGCTTGGAAAAATTATTCTCTTTCTTTGTTCTGATAAATACTGACAGCGGGACTGAAAGTAAGGATATATTCAAAATCATGAGTTGGCACCAAAACAGAATTAGAAGGAAATCTTTAAATGGGGACACATATTTCACTAAAAACTGGGGCAATTCTCTCATTTTGGAGAGAATTCCTCTCACTTCCTGTTGTGTGTAGAACAGAATTGAATAGAAATCTCCACAATGGAGATAAAGGTTTGGCTTTAGATATACTTAAGCAAGCAATAAACAGTACAGTCTCTTCCATGTAACATATGACAAGAGCAATGGAAGGTTAATTAATTTGCTTTTTACAGGGACATTACTTGGCTTTAAAGGATCCATGACAAATTCAGTTTGAATGTTTTAAGCTGGAAGTAATATTAAACGTTACAGTGGTCTTATAGTAAATACCTAACAAACTTTGTATTGAAACTCATGTTTTATAGGTGCCCCATTTTCATCTCATGTGCTTCGAGCAGAGCAAGAGCTTCAACTGTGGAATGAGGTAAGCATAGACAACTTTTCTCTCCTTGAAATAAACAATTTGAATTAATGTTGTCAATATTTCCACCATTCTCAAGCCACGCTTGATATTATGGCATGCTCTGAATGCTCCAGGCAGCTGGCTCTAAGGTCTTTCTAAACTTGGTGTCTGGCAGTGGGTGGGGATTTTACCAATTTACACTACAAGTGAGTTCTTTTTTGTTTTAAATACAAGGGAACTGCTAGAACTTCTCTGTGATTCTTTTTTTCTCTGCCCATGTCCTTGCTGGGGAGGTTATCCATCATTTCCTTTCCCACAGACCACTGTTGTCATAGGTACAGGGGGTTAGAGAAATTATCATTATTATCATAACAGCAATGAAATACTAACAGAAGTGAAGAGGGTAGAACCTCTGTCATGCTGATTCCCCTAACCTCATGTCTTAGAGATAGTACTCATCAGTATAGTAAGTTAGGGGAGATTTCCTTGAGAGTCTTTGTCAACAGGCTTTGGGCTTGTGTTACTGGCATCAGTTTGACAATCAATTTTGACGATTCTGAGATCATTCAGAATTCCTTGCTGGGTGCATTTCACCTGCAGTTGACTGCCTTCTGACCTCCTTTTCATCTGCTTCAAGGTTTTGCATTCCCATAGTATTATATGACAACGTGAAACCTGCTTAAAGGAACAAATGCCACTTGAAAACGTCCCTCCTAGGGACACAGACAAAAGACGAGGGTCTAAGTGTTCCTTAATCTTTGCAAAACCAGTTCGGACTGAAGATATTTGTAAATCTTGTATAATGGTAATTTCTAAGGGTACGTACAATGCATCCCTTGTGTTTATTGTTAACCCCTGTAGACGTTGCTGGAGGAGAGATTGGAGATTGCCATGTATAATGGAGCAGAATAGAAGATTTATTCACGTATAGCAAAAAATGAACGGCTTTCATTTCATGCTTTAAACAAATTAAATCTAATCTGGTTGCTATAGATTACAATACATAAGTGACTTGACATTGGTCTATCAAATACATCCCAATGAGGAAGTTCTTGTCTTTCTACATATATGACATCCTGCTTCAAGGCCACCTTACTGGAAATGCTTTGTTAGCTTTATTGGCTGCTAATAGAGGATAACATATTAAAGAGAAGTGGATAACAAGATTGCATGCAATTTTAGCTTGAACTACCGTGCCATAGAAGCATACACACATATATATTTTGATTGTTTCAAGGTTCTTTTATTAAATTACGTTTTATTTTGGGTTTAATGATCCTTTATTGTATGCTAATCACTGCTGGCTAAAACTGATCGCAGGAGTATGGCAATCCAGTATTCGGTATGACGGTAACTCCTAAATACCCAGGAGGCACCTGCAAGATCAGAATATTTTGTTTCATTTTTTGTGCTATTTTGCACTAAATAATGATTCAATGTTTTTTGTTTTTTTTTAACTGGACCATATTAGAACATATTTTTTACCTTTTTAAATGGTTTGATTCCTTACTTGTAGATATAGACCATTCCCATTCTATCCTTGTTTACTGTCTAAGATACCTGTTTATTTTGCTAGTTTCAGTATGCTACAACACTTGTTTTATGGCTAGTTCACACCACAATACTGTGTGTTTAGCACACACTAGTGCACAGTGCACTTAGCATTTGGTACTTTGTCGTAGGTGCATTGCCTTGCCATTCATTTGAATGGTAGCCCAACGTACTTCCCAGCGGGCATGTGTTGCAGGACAGCACAACACCCAGTGCCGCAATATCTTGTGGTGCAGTGAAAAAGGAGGGAAGTTACATTACTTTTGTTTTAACTCAATGCATTGAATTGTGGTACCCCGCATTGAGCTGCAATGCATTACCACTGGGAGGTACATCAAAATGAACAATGGCAATGCAACGCACCTAGCACATGGTATGGCACACTAGGTGCGCTGAGCGATAGCATGTGCTAAACACATGATAGAATTGTTTGTCCATTTAATTCAAAACTATGGTGCAAATTAAATTAGGGTAACAACATTTTATTGGCTCTTATAAATTTCAGAAAGCGTTGTCACCTTGTTCTCCAGCAGCACACCAATGTACCACAAGGCTGTCTGGTGACACAGCCTCTACCCTGTACATATCACAGTGGTCAGTGAGGAGGAAGAGGCTGGTCATTCCAGCAACCCCCAGTACTACCCCACCTTCATGGTAACTGTCAGTACCTCTCTCCAGTGGCTATCTTTGCTTTTTTCATGGCATGGCGCTGTGGAAAGAAGATGCAGTGCTGCTGATTGTATGCCTACATAGCAGACTGATAACTTCCTTTGCCTAAGACACAATAATTACTAAGTAGTAGTTTTGACATGTTTTATTGTTTTAAAATAATAATGTGTAAACTTCAATTCTTACTTAATTGGGGGGGCGGGGAGACAGGAACAAAATGGAAAAATACACTTTTTTCTTAACTATTCTGGTAGTTTTAAATGCTTAAAGGAGAACTATGAGGTGAGTGCTTTTCACTCACCTCATAGTTCTAGCCGACCTGTGACAATGAGACTGTCACAGGTCGGCTCAGTAGATCTGGAGGTGAGCGAACACATACCGGGTTCGCTCGCCTCTCGATCCTGTCACGGCTCTCTGCCGTGACAGGGGGAGGGGCTGGATTCCCCTCTCCCCGCTCCGATCTGCCAGCGCTGACTGGCGGAATGGACGGGGGAGGGGGCGGATACAGCTGGCTCTGCCTCTAGTTAGGCAGAGCCAGCTGTCACTCACGCAGCTGGGCGGATCCCGTCATCTACGTCGGGATCCGCTCCGGCTGCGGCGTCTCAGTATACCGCGAGCTGTAGCTCGCGGTATACTGAGCTTAGGGTAACGGGAGGACGCTAGTTTGTGTCCTCCCGTTACCCTAAGGAGAACTATGGGGAAAAACACTGACCCCATAGTTCTCCTTTAAAGCTGAATTGCAGAGTAAATATTAGTCGTGTGTATTCTTACTTGGTGTATTTTTTCCAGATCTGTGCAGAAGCTTCATGTAATAAAGACCAGTCACTGTTGTTCTCTCTCATGTACTGGATGACTGGTCTTGTATCCACCCCCTCTTGTAGTTTGCTGCAGACAGCCTGTAGTGGGTAGGGCCTGCTGGGTCCCTCCCACAGCTCTGCTTTCTGCACAGGTTAGGTACAGTACAGTGATGATGTAATAACCTGATTTGAAAAGGCATTTGGTACTTAGAAAGTGAATTTATATCCTTTGTGGCTATTGAGGTATATGTTGAAATGAAAGTTTTTCTGGCTGAAGTTCAGCATTTAATTAACCCCCAAAATATTAAAAATATTCCTGTTCACATGGTTTCTACAGTACATCAAACGGGGGTACAACATATGTGTTCCTTTTTTAAAGGAAATCTATATTAGGGGAGTATAGGGTCAGATGTTCTGGCCTCCCCTTCTGCAAATACTAGTTCTTAGCTGGCATTATTCAGTGCTTTCTAAATCACTAAGTTTGAACAAGTATGCAAATTATAAGTCTGATGTGGGACTCTGTTGTGAAAGTGGGGGCTTTGGTGTTAATAGGGGCTCCTAGGGTGAGAGGGAGGACTCTGATGTGAAAGGGGGGAACTCTGATGTGAAGAGCGGACTCTAATGTGAAAGGGGGACTTTGATGTGAATAGGGGATCCTAGGGTGAGAGGGGGGATGCTGATGTGAAAGAGGGTCACTCTTATGTGAAAAGGAGGGACTCTGATGTGAAAGGGGGACTCTGATGTTAAAGAGGGTGACTCTGATGTGAAAGGGGGGACTCTGATGTGAAAGGGGGAGGCTTTAATGTGAAAAGGGGGTTTCTGATGTGAAGAGGAGCTCCTAGGGTGAGAGGGAGGACTCTGATGTAAAAGAGGGGGGTTCTTATGTGAAAGGGGGGACTCTGATGTGAAAGAGGGCACTCTAATGTGAAAGGGGGGACTCTGATTTGAAAGGGGGGACTCTGATTTGAAAGGAGGGACTCTGATGTGAAAGAGGGGACGCTGATGTGAAGGGTGGCTCCTTGTGTGAGAGGGAGTGACTTTGATGTGATGGGTGGCTCCTGATATAAAGGGGGACCCTAAGGTTAAAGGGGAACCCCCACTTTTTGTGTTTTTGCATAAGGCTCCCACCATAAAATCCATATCTCAGATAAAGGTCTGGTAAAGATTTTTGAGGGGCCACATATTTTTTTCTACATTTTAACATTTATGTTTTTTTTACATTTTAGACTGGGGTGCTTTGAGATTTTGCATATATCTAAAGGGTGCCGTGGCTAAAAAAGGTTGGGAAACTTTCAGTTAGAATACAGCTTGTCAAAGAAAGAATGTCCGTGCCATTTGAGTTCTCCAACAGTGATATTTTGCTTTGTGACAGGTTCAGTTTAGCGCAAAAACAATCATTCATAATCAGACAATTACAGTGACCACAAATGAGATACCCTATGAGGAATCAGTACCAACATGTTCCATGATATTCTCTGATTATAAGATGCCCTCGGGCATGAAAGATACATGTTACTATATACCATTATTATTGATAAAAGCACAATGTCCCAATGGCCTCCAGCATGGGAGCCACAAGATAAATGAGAAACATCCCACCAATAGGTGATCATCAGTACTACTTTACTCTATAGGGTTAATGCCTGGAACATTTAGACAACATACTGTATAATTTCCAAACTATGTTGGTTTGAGAATTGATGACAATCAGCAGGTTACATTTTTAAACTCCTTTATGATTTTCCTGTCTGCAGATAGATGCTGCATGCTCTGCGGTGCTGTCAGATTCCCAACTTACCGTGAGTCTATGTTTATTATTGTCTACACTCAATATAGTATAAAAATAGAGCTGTGACTTAACGGCCTTTTCTTCGGATGCAGGTATCCAGCACTTTAGAAGAACTTTGCTTTATGGTAATGGGAATACTGCAGAAGACTCAGGTAAGTCAGATGTTTTCTAAAATAGTTAAAAGAGTATCAAAAGTCTGTTTTTTTTTCATTTTGGATGGTGTAGAAAGGGCAACCTCCTCACTCCAGCTGTGGAACTACAAGTCCCATGAGGCATCACAAGACTCTGACAGCCACAAGCATGACTCCCAAAGGCAGATGCATGATAGGATTTGTAGTTTCACCACAGCTGGAGCGCCATGATTGTCTAACTCTGGGTTAGAATCTCTTTCAGGTTTATGTTGTTGTCTATGTTCTTATTGGGGAGATTAACTTTCTCAATTTGTCCTGATGACTGATGCCACCAAGCATGACAGTGAGGCTAAAATCCAAAGTTTTGAGTATTTATCAGAACAAAAATAGAGGGGAATTGTCCAAGAGGGGATTTCCCTGTACTTTGGGAGATTTCCTCACTTCTTGAAGGGGGGAATTTATTAAAACTGGAGCAGAGAAAAACTGGAGCAGCTGTTCATAGTAACCAATCAGCTTCAATCTTACATTTGTTCAGTTAAGCTGTGAAACCGAAAGATTGAAGCTGATTGGTTGTCATACACCGCTGCTCCAGATTCTGTCTGCTCCAGCCTTTGTAAAATTCTCCTTGTTGCATCTCCAAGACAGGACTTGGGGTTTAACTCTTCCCTACTATCTAAAACTAAACAAAAAAGGTTGTACTTTAATTGCAACTAGATCATATGGCACGTCAAGCACTATTAATTGAACTCCAGGCACAAAAACATGACATACTGAATATAACATATATATAACTCAATAGCCAAAGAGGTGAACATCAGTTCACAAAGTGTGTTCATAGACCCATATGTTACATTGTAAAAATAGTGGTAACATCATCACTGTGCTGTACATGGCTTGTGCGGAGAGGCCCCACCAACTTTAGGCTGTGTGCAGAAAACTACAGGAGAGGGTATACAAGACCAGTCACCCTACACAAATTGAGAGAGCAGCAGTGACTGGTCTTTATTGCAGAAAGTTCCTGCACAGAGGTAAAGTTTCACACTGGGTTACTGCACAGATCAGGAAAATACAGTGGCGTCCTGAGGCATGCGCGGCCATCTTGGTGATACCTGCTGTTGGCCATCTTGGTGATGGACGCCGGCAGAGAGAGGAGGGGGATGTTCACGCAGCGGGAAAAGGCTTGCCGTCGGGTCCCCTCCTTGTGCATGACCGAGTGCCCGACTTTTCAGAGGGGGCGACATCAACATGAGTTTCAGTCATTTTGGTGTCACCCAGGTGCTGGCTCCTCCCCCCTTGTGACACCACTGGGAAGATATATACAAAGCACACCAACATTCGAGTAAGGATACACATGACGCTTCTCTTTAGACAACATTTGCTTATCCTGGAGTTTAGTTTTAATCAGGTATACAAAGGAACAAAGTGCAGTACCGATACTCTTCCCCAAGTACTTGCCGATACCAATTACAGATACCTTTTTTTTTAGTGTCATGTGACCCCAGGGCAGTGTGCAGCGACTCTCCAGGGCCTTGTGCAGCATCTCTCCAGGCTGTGCAATCTGTCCGGGCCTGTGTGAGGCATCTTACCAGGCTGTTTGCAGTCTCTCCGGTGCGGTAAGGGTTATCCATAAAATGGTGACAAATTTTCTTTGTTCTTGGATGGATATTCCTCTTGCTCTAGGTAGATTTTCTCTCATTTCATGTTGCTTCTGCAGGACAATAAGTCAAGGGAAATCTCTCCAGTGGGACGCAGACAACAAAAAATAACTTGACAGAGGTTTAACCCCCAACTGTATCCAAAATGAGAAAAAAAAGAGTTTTGGCTATAAATGCTGTCTATTTATAAACAATTTGCAGAGCCATTCATCCTGCAAATTTCTGTGATCCTTCGTCCCGTGTGAATAGAGGAAAAAAAGGAAAATTTGATTGCAATATTCCGAAAATACCACACTATGGCCATTAGTTGGAGCTGAGGAGGATAGGAAAAGAGTATTTATTTTCTAACCTCCATCTAGTGACCATTTTGCAGTATTTTCCAAATATATTTCAAGGACAAATCACAGAGTAAACATTTTACTAAATCTTTCCCTCTTTGATATTTACAGGGTTCAGAAGAAAAAGATGACTCAAAAAGGGTGAGTACTGTGTTCCACACTAAGAATATTAAGATTTTGTTGTCCTTCAGCTTTTTGTGAAGTAAAATAGCATTTTAATTTCTTTTCTGCGCAGTTCTTATTTCATTATTCTAAGAGTCATGACTCAGGAAAATCTGACATCACGGTAAGTTGAAGTCTATAGGAGAACAACATTCAAACTAGATAATGCAATGTCAACCACACTGCTAAGACACATCCACCTGCATTGCTTAATGCATAGTAGGTATTGCTAATTCCACCCTACAATACACAGAGTATAATATAAGGCACTCCAGTGATTGTACTACATTAACTGCATTCACTTAGAATGATACTTTTCTGCTGATGAGATAGAGAGGTCATCATAACCAGGGAAAATGAGAAACCTGCAGTGTAACTGTGAGCACATGCAGTATGTTGGAAAGGCCGTGCTTCCTGTACTAACTTGTACCAGAAGCAACACTGATTCTGATACAGGAGAACTATGAAGGTCTTCTACATTATAAAATAATTTGAAAGATGAACGTATTCCTCACCCAACAAACAGTGAGCATAGATTTGGAAATTGTGTCACTGTAGCCAGATTAAAAATTTAGAGATATATATCTTTGGGTGTTGGATTGACAGTATTATTTTATAAAGAGTATCTGTATTTTTCTTAGAATGGCCAGTACAGGTTAATAAATTATTGCCTGTATGTATCCAGTGCTTACAACATCTGTAATTTAGGTTGTCCCACTTTTATTCTTTTTTTATTCTGTAAGCACAAGACTCCCATCCACATACAAATACATATGTAACCCAGTATGGGGAGAATCACGAATGCTAGCATTGGATGGAGTGTATTAAAACAGGATAAGCTATGTTTTTTTTCCATCTGTAGAAATCTCTACCCCCTCAATACTGTGCTTTTACTTTTTAAATATGTATCAGCAGCCAGCATTGTTGATATGTATTAAGTACTAAATGCATTTGGACATTACTGGACTTCTGTTGCCACAATGACCTACAGTATGCACTGGAGGTGGAACCCTCTGCTGACAATGGCACCTCTCCCTCCACTATAGAGGCTGATTGACAACTAAAACATACTGTATAATGTGCCTGTTGATTGTTTTAATAGAGGGGATTTCCATCCATGTCCTGTGTTGCCTCTGCGGCAATCTCCTGTCCTGGGCTGCTTCATTGTAGAATAGAATTGACACCTGCAGGATGATGTGGCCTGATTTAAGAAGAACATTTTATGATATTATCAGAATTAATTATTTACCTTGTGAAGGAAACTTTTAGGGGGTTCTTTACGCTGATGCGTTGGCTTCCACTCTACATAAAAAAGGAAACTGTGATTGAAAGCACCTGGTTTAGTTAATGTAATACCTGTTAAAGTATGTTTCAAATGGCACTAAACTCAGGAGTTAAATCCTAAAAATGCATTCAGGTACCTTACCTATTAACAAAAATGTATCTTATTTGTGTGTCATTCGGCTGTAGATCTTAAAATCATCTCTAAATTGGTGCTGATACTGTCCTTCCTTCTGGAGGGTGGTTACTTTTGTTCCCCATGGTTCCTGGTGTTGTAAAGTAGTCACCACTCCAAGCTCACTCCCATGATGGACTACAATCTTAATACAAATGAGTAAACTAAATGTGAGATTGTAGTTCATGAGAGGAGTGAGCTTATAACTTTACAACACACACTGGGACCATGGTGAACAAAAGTAGCCACCCTCCAGAAGGAAGGACAGAGATGATTTGAGGATCTACAGCTGAGTAATACACAAATAAGATACATTTTTGTTAATAGATAGGTCAATGCATTTTTAAGGTTTAACACCTGAGTTTAGTGACACTTTAAAGTCCGTTTAAAGGATAAGTGCACTTTAAATCACAAAACACATATTATTTTGCCCCCTACCCTTAACTTAAATGATACCACCCTTTCCCTCCACAGAGCCGTACTTACCGAAATCCAATACAGTGATATCTATAATATTTGGCTTTCCCATCTCTTCTCATCCAGGTGACAATGGTCATTGGTCACTAGGACAAATAGAGAGGCTGAATCTTCCCAACAGGGACATATACAGTAAAACAATAAATACATAAATAACAGACATAACAGGGTTGATGACCCTTCCCTACTCTATCAAACGCTAAAAATGTTTAGATTTTACATCCACTTTAAGATGGAGCATATGAGATTGGATCTAGTTGAACCATTGGGGCATGTAGTGCAGTGCCACAGAAATTATATTAGAATATACAGAGATTCATAGGATTTATTTCTATACAGAACTATTTCAGGACACCAAGTGTATGTAGGTGGGAGGTCGATTTTCAGGACATAATGGGGAATATTTGCACAAAGAGTTTTGCTGATGTCAGGTTTTACCTGTCACTGTGTATTTTGTACAAGGTACATATTGTTGACAGCTTATTGTTTTGTATATTTGGCCTCTGGGTATAAACAATGCAGAATATTAATGCCTTCTAGAATTAATAAATAATAACTGGATTTCTTTTAGCATTTGATTTTTATGCTGTATGTGTAAATTATTTTTTTTTATTCTACACAAGCTATGTCATCCACCATAGCACAGTATGCGCAAATAATTGTCCTAGGCATATTCAGGAACAGTGGAATGGGCAATGATTTCGTGCAGAGTCAGTAACTCCTAGTAAACAGTAGGATTGCACCTTTTATTTGTGTTATGTAGTTGGACTCAAATCTCTATGGAATTGTCAGATTTATAAATAATATAATTCCTTGTCGCTCAACCTTATTAAGTAATCCTGGAGGGTTTTATGTGAATAAAAAAATATCTATAAAACATGAAAAAATAAAGGAGAACGCACAGGTCTTGCACAATGAAACACAATTTTTATTTGTTCAAAAATATAAAATATTCCACTTACATAACGTAGGCTTTTACAATAATTCTGTACATGGTATGGTTAATTCTGTGCAAGGAGGTCAACAGCCAACGCCAGTTGTTACTACACTCCTCCGTACATGAATGGTTTTTAATCCTGATCAAGGAGATCAGTAGTCAGAGCCAATTGTTACTCGACTTCTCCATAAATGAATGGTCTTTAATCTTAAGCAAGGAGATCAACACTCAGAGCTTGATACTAGATGTCTCCATTAATTAATGGTCTTTAATCCTGAGCAAGTAGATCAGTAGCCAGAGTCAGTTGTTACTAGACTTCTCTGTAAATTAATGGTCTTTAATCCTGAGCAAGGAGATAAGCAGTCAGAGCCAGTTGTTACTAGACTTCTCCATAAATAAATGGTCTTTAATCCTGAGCAAGATCAGTAGCCAGAGTCAGTTGTTACTAGACACAATCCATATACCCATTGCACTCCTGACCGCTGATTCCAAGTAAAGATAGATGGGCGCTTCAATAGTCGACGGCGGATGGCCACCGTCACAATAGTACAAACAATTATGGACACCGACACTCCAATTGTAGAATAACGTCTATTTATTGACGTCCATGCAAAAAACATACTTATTGCAACGTTTGATTGTCTGGTGAGGCATAAACACTCCTGATTTTCCCCTATTGGCTGCCCCACTCTGTAGCATGGTCACACCCCAATCAAATAGGTGCAATCCAGTGGCGTCACAAGGGGGGTGCGGCCTGCACCCGGGTGACACCATTGGGGGGGTGACACCAAAATGACTCACAGTCATTTTGGTGTCACCCCCCTCTGAAAAGTCGGGCGCTCGGTCATGGACCGAATGCCCGACAGTATCAGTAAGAGAGGAGGGGACCCAGCGGCATACCTTATCCCGCCGGGTGACTGTCCCCTCCTCTCTCTGCCGGCGTCCATCACCAAGATGGCCGCCGGCAGGTATCAGAATACTGCCGCAGTGACGTCTGGGCGAGGGGACACTCGGTTACCGCTCCGGGTGTCACTCAGCCTCGGGACGCCCCTGGTGCAATCAATAGCAAAACTCCTTGAATTAACCAGATAATATGAGACTACAAATCAGCTAGCCTGACTTCAGTGCTAGCAAATTGTAATAACATCTACTTTATATTTATTACATGTTCCCATACACATAGCATATCTTTAAAAAAAAAAAAAAAAATTAAAGCCTACCTTTTTTAGATGTTCTTTGTGCCAACTCCAGGACTGACAAATCATGCTTAGTCATTACTGTCTGGGTGGTTGGGGGGAGTTTGTTTTAAACAATTAACCCAGCCTGTACTGTGCTGGCAAATGTCATTATCACTTGTAAACCAGAAGAGCAGGACTGTCTGCCCAAAAAAAGGGATAAAATCCTGAAGACATTGTATGTTAATGAGGGGAAGCTCAGCCTTTTCTAAGGCTTTCTAATAGAACAGGCAGAGTCCGTTACTGAAAATACGAAATAAGCTTACTAAGGCCTGCAAAGTAGAGATATTTAAAAGTTAGGAAATATTAAATATATATATATATTTAGGTATGCTGTCTGAATTGGAACACATAACAAACATATAGGACCGTTTTATTCAACTTTGACTGCAAAAGTGGAAAGAGACTATTTAAATTAGTTGTCATGCACTGATGTAAATAGGTCTCTGCAAACACAAAAGAAAGACCTCTGGGTAATGTTTGAAATAAAATGTTCTTGTATATTGCCCATGAAGCTCTCAATGCAGTGAGTATAGCTTAATCACAGTAAGTCAGTAATCAGAGTCAGTAATCTGCTAGCAAGGTAGAACTATGCCATTTTGGTTATTTCAGGCTTGGCAATAGCCATAGGTGTAATCACCCCAAACCGCAGCACCAAAACTGCAACAGCGGGCACCATATTTTTAGTCACAGAGCCAGTGGAGAGATCACAAAGATCTCTCTGTGACAGGCTCAGAGATACAGAGCGCAGCAGCACTTGCCACTTATATTGCTTACATAACAGCCGCAGTCCTCGATGGAAAGCTCTGAGGGAGCGTGGCTGTGGCTTCCCATCCAATCAGGAAGCCGACCGTGTGGTCAGGCTCCCTGCTTCATTACTGTACCCCTGGATGGAAGAAGTAAGGGACGGTTGAAGCGATTGGAATCTGGGATTCCTCAGGTCTGAGTATGTATGTATGTTATATACAGGTATGTTAAATTTTGGCGCATCCCTAATATATATATACGTATGTTGGTTTGTACTTTTGTGTGCACACCTGCACATGCCTATGGCAACAGCTACATTCTGTCATTTATTTATGTATTTTTTGTAAACTATTAGCATGTGTGGTTGCTATTGTATTCTCTTTAGCATCATATTTAGGGTTTGTAGTCTGTAATGCACATGTCCAGGGCTTTGTTTCTGTCTAACTGCAAAGAAGACATCCTGTGCACTCAGAAGTCCATTGTTGCTCATTTGTCTGTCTTCATGTCCTCTCAGTCGTCTGTCCTGCATCCTTTGCTGCAAATCGTTCCTCAGCTTCATGAAAGAAGGATGAAGAGATTCAAACCTAACGTATGTAACCGTACTTTATGCTTTATCACCCAGTTTTCCATCCCTGTTTTCCATGAGTTCTTTTATTTTCCGATTGTTACCCCAGTTTGTGGTTCAACGAAGATCCCATGCTTGTTTCATTTGCATGTAGAATGGAGATGATATAAATATATCAACTCAGGAGACACAATTATTTATTTTAATCCTTTACCATATACAACCTGCTGTCATAGAGGTAAAATGCTGTGGGCAATGCCATGCACAGATTCAGTTTTGTCACAATAGTCTTACATAACCTTTTTATAAGGTTAATGTGACATGAATTGTAAAGATAATTCTGACTCAGTTCTTACTCTGTATCTATAAAAAACACTAAATGATAACTCCCTAATAAAATAAACAATAATTAATGAAGGATACATGTGAGGAACAATATAAAATGTAGGCCATCCATGCCTATAATGTAACCAAATCAACATCATTGGCAACAATCAAGTTACATAACTGAGCAATAAAGCGCCCTGCAAGTGTAAAGGTGCCCATACACTTGTTGAATTTCAGCCGGTTTTTAATGTACCGGCCGAAATTCGCACAGTGTGTGGGGCTGTCGGCTCCCTTTCAGCCGGCATTCCTCGATTAGCTGATCAATCAGAGCTGGCAGCCAATGTGCTGCCTGCTCTGATCAAGAATACATTGTAAACAGCCGGATTCCACGATTGGCACACTGTTTGTGTTGATGGAGGAGGCGGGTCAATTCTTTTCGTTCAGCCCGCCGGTTGAACGGAAAAAATTGATAGGTGTATGGCCAGCCTAAGACAGTCCACCATGTCGGAAAATTGCTGTCCTTGCTCACATCTCTCTAAAGAAAAAACCCTTCCTATTTCTTTGCTATCAGTGTAAAGTAAATGTTGGCTTAAAGCAGGTTGTGGCAGCATGCAATTTATACACGACTAAGCAGACCTCTTAACATGCGGTGGTCTTGGTGAGAATATTTGTTCTTCTTGCAGAAATTTGAGTAGTCTTCTGATCTGCAGAGCCCCGGCTGGAGTGTTGTTCTCTATTTTACATAGGTATTAATACCGATTGGTTGAAGATCTGGCCTATAGAGTATATATGACATTACTGAGGGTAGCATGACATTTTCACAATTACTGGATATGCAGCAAAGGACTGAAAAGGTAAAAGATATGGAGAAGAGCAAAGTTTAGCTACCCATAGACAGCAGACCCCAGACTGATAAGTTCTTTCTAAAGAGAGATCTATCCATGAATATGCCCAGATTGTCTGAAAGTTCATGTGTATGCCTATGGAAGTGGGAGGGGAGAACAAAAGTGATTGGTTAAGTGAATTCAACTCAATTGATCTACCAAGTGATGTTTAGAGTATATGATTGTTCCCTAGGCCATTTTATGTCCATGGGCACAAGAAAGGAAGTGCAGTGTCCTTTTAGGATTTTTTAGTTATCTGTGTAAAAGAGACCTGCTTGCTGTAAATCTTATCGGTGCGTGGGTTAATCTTTTAAAAAGCTTTGTTTCTCTTTATAGTTTGTAATTATTTGGGTACATGAGCGCAGCCATATTTCCAAATTACATATGCAGGCTGCTTTCTGCCTTGCAGTTCATCAAAGTAGATACTGCTAATTCTCAAAATGCAAGTCTATTAGTTGGTTTACTGAAAACAAGACTCTCAGACTTAAAGCAATGCAATCCATGGGTGGCTAATATCTTATCTCAACAGTTGTTAAGCAGTCAGTAGTTGTACAGTCATTGTAATAGCTCATTTTCTCTGCCTCTTGTGGCTGATCTGCAATAATCTCTAATATACACTATAAGAGCTAGCATGTTAAATGTCACATCAACAATGTCTTAAAGGTCAACATTGTAATAATAATTCAAAATATGTGTGTACTGAAAATGTAATATACCTTCCCTTTAAGAGAAGATATACAGTATAGTCACAAAGCCCTGAATGTGTGCATTAACTGTGCTAGAATTCCAGTGTAAACCACACAGCGTTAGGAAAATACATCTTTTGAGCTTACAGTGCTTTGAGGACAAGCCTATTACACGCTAAGTCTATTACATGCTAAAACATCTGGGGGGTTTTTAGTCACATAAAATCACATGTGCATTCAAATCTTATCCATCAAATCAATGACTTATATAAAGAACTGTAGACAGTCATTGGGGGGAATTTATCAAAACTGGAGCAGGCAGAATCTGGAGCAGTTGCCTACGGCAACCAATCAGCATCTTTCTTCAGTTTGCTCAGGTAAGATTTGAAAATGAGAAAGGGAAGCTGGTTGCAGTGCAAATCTGCTCCAGATTTGGTCTGCTCCAGTTTTGATAAATATCCCCCACTGTTTTTTAGCAAGTTGCCTTGTGCTTATTTGACTCATGGGTTTGTGCTCCATAATTTTTTTGTGTGCACAATGCATTTTTATTTTACAAAGGCATAGAGATTGCACATTAAGCTGATCAGAATATATGGGACATAACACATATTCTGAAATGACCGTCTAACTAGTTTGGTATAGAATTATATTGATCTAATACATTATAAACACTTAGAGGAGGAATTCATAATTTAATAACTCCCATCAGTATTAAAATTGACTTAATGGACATGTTAGTTATCTTTAAGGCTCATGCACATGGGCTGCTGAGCCCATACAACATCAACTTTTGTGTATTTTCCCCCACCAGGGAGCCATGGTGCTCTGTACAGCCTCCCATAGAAGTCAATGTCTGTAGGCAAGTATATGCTGGTACTTGGGTACAGCCGCATATGCGAACAGATGTAAATCACTGATATGACAAAAAGGAGAGCGCCCACTCCATGTGAAGGATCGTTTAATAATTTGCTTTTAAAAAGTGGTATTGTACTCACAAGAGATAAATGACACAAGTGTATCCAATGGTTCCCCTCACAGGAGGCTATCGCCCATCAGAAGCCACAGCGCAGCCTGGTCAGCCCTGGCAGGCTGAGTTGTGGCTTCTGATGGGCGATATCCTCCTGTGAGGGGAACCATTGGATACACTTGTGTCATTTATCTCTTGTGAGTACAATACCACTTTTTAAAAGCAAATTATTAAACGATCCTTCACATGGAGTGGGCGCTCTCCTTTTTGTCATTTCATAGATGTTAAGGTTCCCTGCCTTGTGGAGCTGCCCCAGTGTGATCAGGTGGAATCAATTAAGGAGGAGGGCATGCTGTGATTCATTTGCGCCGGGAACATTTTGATTTTACACGAGATGTAAATCACTGGGTTCAGAAAACCTACATCCAGGGATTTACGGCCGTACGCATATATAGCTGTACACAAGTACCTGCGTATACCTGTGTACAGCCATTGACTTCTGTGGGAGGCTGTACACAACACCTGTGGCTCCCTGGAGGGGAAGGGGAGAATACTCAGAAATTTACGTGTACTGGCACAACTGGTGGTGTGTATGGGCCCCAAGTGTCCAAGACTCTTGTTGGTGTTATTTGTGTTATTTTGACACCATTTTGTTCAGTGCAAAAATGTCATCATATTCACCCCCATAATACCTTTTCACATGTATTGGAAGTCTACATACTCAAGGATGCAGATTGTATGTGGAACTTCCAGTGTCTTATCACCGCTTCCACATGCCATGCCATGGGTCTTTCATTGACATTTATTTTCAACATGGAGGGTGAGTATTTTTCACTTTTCACTTTAGGTCCACTAGAGCATCACTAGTTTTGAAAAATGTATGAATGTGCAGGAACCACACATGCAGTCACTATTCATAGGTGCAAGCCACAAAATAGCTTTATCTACAAAATATGGTTGATAAAAAAAGAATTGTAACCAATTCATTGGAAGGTTGTACCTTTGTCTAATTGGTGAAATACGTCTATTGATTAACTGGAAAACAACTTGTTTTTTCCCAATTTCAGGAGGAGGTCCAGGGACCTGGAGGTGTCCTAAGCAGAGGCTACTTTCTGTTCAGGGTAATTAATGATTTTCTTTTCATACTGAATCAATGAAAACAACACAGGCACTACTTTTAAAGCCAGGTTGCCATTGGTTGGCTACTACAACGTTATTGATGTGACAGTTCAAATTTGTCAAAATATGCATATTCAGTGTGGAACCCCTATAGATTATGAGTACCGCAGGGACCCCTAAACCTTTCAGCTCATTGACCCTTTATGTAGCTTTAAATTGTTCTTTGACACCCAAACATTTATTAGATGAAAATGGAGGGTTATATCAAAGGTTTAATGGCATTATTACTTAAGGTGGTTTCAAATAATAGGCTCATAGACATTGTATGATCAATAAATAAAGCTTTAAAGCCCCCAAAAATTATATATATATATATATATATATATATATATATATATTTGAATACTGTTGACACTTCACCTTGGTATCTGCACCTGCCATTGTGGTTTTTACAATGCTGATTTTTTTAGAACATGCACAGCAATCAGTCCTTTGGCACCACTTCTATTACTATGGGTGTGCTCACTGGGTTTCCAACAGAGTTTCAGATGGGTGTACCCACTGGCTCTTAAATGGAGTATGAGGTGGGGTGTACACCCAGTACAGGAAGTTTAATATCCTTCACAGAAGAGGGAGGGTGAAAAGTCACAGACACACAATGCAAACCATGCTGGTAAACAAAGCCAGTAACAACACACAGTTGATAAAGACAATTCGAGGCCGCTCTCGCTGGTGGCTGATCATCCAACCCTGAGTAAAACTACCCAGCTAGCCTCAGAACTAGGGAATTGCATGGATCTCTACAGAGAATTCAAAAAAGTAACTGACCTAAATGAATCTTATCATCATTTATTGACCACCTATTGACTCACAAAAATGTTACCAACCCCCGACCATTTTATTAACCACTTCGATAGTCCCATCAACACTTGGGGGTCAATACTGACCACTTTAGAGAACTCTGGAGGAAATAGAATGCTTGCAGTGGCAGAAATGCCACAATGCTCCAAGGCGATGGTGTCCAGATGGAGGCCTGAGGCCCCCAGAATCATTCTGGATGTTCACCATTGCTTTGATGTGTGCTGCATACATGTGAGACAATACACACAAGCAAACTGTTCTGGACAGACCTAAATACAAATAATTGATCACTCACTTTTACTGGATATAAGCCACATCATACAGCACAATATGTAGCAACAAGGATATCATGTTTGGATTTTTGCATCATTCATTGGCACATAGAAGCATACAAATGCACTGCAGGAGACATCTTGTAGCTGGGCATGTAGATGAAATCAGAAAGAGCACTTTGTGATTCACTTTTTATCAGATGTGATCCCTAAATCCCAGATCTTTAAAAATTATACTGCTCATTAAAGAAGACACCAGCTTAGCTAATATGTGCATGTCCTATTTTCCATATGTCTGATCCAATCTCATGTTGGTTTTCAGCCACGTAACGGAAGAAGATCAGCGAGTTTCCGTTAAGAGGTATTAACATCATGTATTTAATGAGAACTTGTATTTTACAATCTTTCTCGCTGTTACAATCAATGTTGTGTCTATGGTGATGTGCTCTTTGCAGCATGCTAAGTTTTCCTGATGTATCACGACAATTCAAATAATAATTAAGGGGAAAGTTTAAATTGTGTGGGCACAATTTCTGGCACATTCAGCAGTAGAATAGTCAGTGGTATTCTGCACACATTCATCAAAGAGTATTTTATAGAGATGGGGAATGTCCATTGATTATTTAAAGTACAATAAGCAGCTTTAGGTACTGGTGGCTGTCCTTGCTGGAGCTCTCCATAGTGCTGTGTTTATACTAAACAGTTTAAGAACTCTCTCTGACACCATCAGCCCTGAATGTCAAGCTGATATACCCGTATTATTCATGTAAATAGTAGGTAACATTGAAGTGCATACTTGTGAATAAATCAAACACAAATATATTTGGCACTGTTGTGATTATTTTTTGCCCTGTTGGGATTAGGGCCGTGGATCACATTTTTATCATATTGGTTCTTTGCACATAAAAAAAGGTGTAAAAGATTGAAGCAATGGACAGTATCAAGGACAGATAGGGTCACAAAGCATTTATTATCCACTTCCCGCCCTTTAACCCAGGAGTACAGTGATGAGGGCTCGTTAAAAGTAGCAGTTTGATAAGACATGGAGAGAATGAAGGGACTTTAGGATCTCCATACCACTCTCTTATTAGTATGTGTGTATACACGAGTGGCCAGATTATTATGACCACCTGAAGTTTGTAGGCAAATTAGCTATGATTAGCTATAATTTTGCGCTGAAGTTGCTAGAGGGACAGACCAATATAAATAGGGAAGCAGGTTGTTTGCCACGACAGTAGAAGTGATTTTTTTCTGAAGATATGGGTAAACAACGCTGCAAAACATGAAAAAATTAATTGCTGTCAACATTTTACTAAAGATTAAAAGTTTAACAGGTAGAGCTTAGATGAGTGAGCCACAAATGTTTTTAAGTATAATTGGTTTATTTCCCTGTGACCAGAAACCAGACTAAGCATAATAATTCAGTTATCTCAATAGTCATTAAGGGGGTTGAAAATTACATTACATAATAATCATCACTAGAAGAAGCCTTCACAAATTTCTTTATATGTGTGAAATAACAATGATTGAATTTTCAAACAGCAGGCAAACGTAACAGATTTCTATAGGGAATACACTATGGGATCTACATATGAAGCAGTGAATGTGATATTCACTAAAAATTTACTGCAAGTTAGTCAATCACTATAATTTAAAACACTTATACCAGGAAGAATTACCTGCATGTCACATTCAATGATTTGGGAGTCAGAGCATTGCATTGCCTAATGGGATTTATAGTTGGACCACAGCTGGAGAGCTGGAGTTTGCCTACCCCTGGCGTAGAGGAACTGTTCATGGTATGCATAGGCATACAAAATACAGTGTAGCATCTGAGGCCCTCTGGGTAGCACTTAACAAATAGCAGCAACACTCAAAAAATATTGGAATAGAAAGAGGAGAGGGTTGAGAGAGCGAGATCAGTAGGGGAGGAGGGAAAGGGAAAATTGAGTGGGTGTCTTGGGGTGATGTGCAAGACCTCACATTATCTCAAATTTGATTTTAAGAGCAAATATTTAGATAGATGTATCCACTAGTGCCTATGAAAGAGTATAGAAATGATTAGATAAAATGTTATCATGAAAAATACAACATACTTTAAAGCCATGCCACAGATAATTCCAGGGAAAAGTTAAAGTGACACTAAACTCAGGAGTTAAATATTAAAATGCATTCAAGTACCCTAACTATTAACAAAATGTATCTAATTTGTGTATCATTCAGCGTTAGATCCTCAAATCATCTCTGAATTGGTGCTGACACTGTCCTTCCTTCTGGAGGGAGGCTACTTTTCTTTCCCATGGTCCCTGTGTGTGTTGTAAAGTAGCCACAGCACCAAGCTCACTCATGTGATGGACTACAATCTCACATTTTCTTTACTTATTTGTACTGAGATTGTAGTCCATCATGGGTGTGAGCACATAGGGACCATGGGGAACAAAAGTAGCCACCCTCCAGAAGGAAGGACAGCGTCAGAAGCAATTTAGGAATTATTTGAGGATCTACAGCCGAGTGATACACAAATAAGATAAGTTTTTGTTAATAGGGTACTTAAATGCATTTTCAAGATTTAACTCCTGAGTTTAGTGTCACTTTAAATATACGCAATGGAAATCATACATTTCAGCAACCATGATTGTGTGATTCTCTCTAGATTGGACACATCTACGTAGAAAAAATGTGAAATAAAAACTGATAAATTGATTATTCCCCAAGAAGGGAATTTCTGCTGTAACACCTTCCCATTTTCCCCTGTTAAGTCCGTGGTGGGAGGTTAAAAAGAATATGATAAAAATGTCCTAGTTGGCAGCTGTCTTCAAACCAGGATGTATGGTTTCATTACACTTAGTACAGTGGACCATTTAAGCTTCTTATTTAGATTAGTACACAACAAAGCCTAGACACTCTGTCTATACCTTGCCAGATACTGGCGTTCTGTTCAGCTGGTCACCAGAGAGCAGGCTCCCAAGGTCTGTTTGTAACCCAAAGATTATGATTCATCTGTAATAAGCTTTAAATGATGTGTAGTTCAGCAAGGGAGCAATTTATTGTCAATTATAATTGTTTTTTTCTTTAGAAATCATTTTGGTGTGACTTGGTACATTGAAACACAAGGGATCGCAAATCAATGAGCCACACGCTACATTCAGCTCCATGCAATAATTTTATCGCATACAAATGCATCCCATTTCACAGCTGATTCAACATTTGCATACAACATAAACTGCATGTGAAACACACTCATTTGCGTATGCTGCACAGTAATTTTCCACTTTCATCCTTGCTTAAAATAAACATTAGGAAAAGGTATGTTTTGCTCTTTCCATAGTGCTGATGGAACAATGGGCAGGTTACATTTTTTATATTCTTAACATAATCAATTAATACATGAAAATATAAAAGAAAATGTTACTATCTTTAATGCCTGTTTTTTACTTTATATATTCACTGCCCTTATTTACTCCAATTTCCTGAAAACCTTCGTCTCTTTTAGGGAAATGGGGAAGTTAGGGCACATGTAGCTCTTTATGGTGGGTTCCGAGAGTTAATTGTGCCATCCCTGAGGACTAATATCATGTTAGGTATAATATGGTGAATGATATAATGCTGCATCAGTGGCAATTTAGGATTGCTGGTACTTCTCTTTTTTCTCTGCTCATTATAACTAATTATAGAGCAGTAATGGTTTGATAGGCTATCTGTGGTTATATAGCTATAAATTATATTTTCAAACAAGTCTAACATTTTAAAACCTATGAAGAAAGGACTATACAATTATATAATTACCTGTATGTTATATAGCATTGTTTCTGTTACAGATTGACTCAGACAGACAGAAGGAGAATCCTGAAGATATCACTACAATGGCTCAGATACCCCATGCTCTGCAGACTTGTAACAATCTTTCACTATAGAATGTAAAGGCTACCATCATACATTTTTTGCGGCTAATGCTGCCAAGTTATCTTTATTTATTAATTGTATTAAAGCATATTACAATGATGACATTGTTTTTAGTGTTCTAATGTGTACTACTATACTGTGTAATTAAAATGATGTCAAGGGCAGTTGTAGAGCTGTGCATGCAGAAAGAATTGCTAGATGCATCTATTTTGTCCTGTACATAAATGCACTCAATAGAGGATGGTTTATAAAACAGACTTTTCTTCATTGCATTGGTCCTTTCATTTGTTTAACTTGCTGTATATATGACATGTGTCAGTAACAAACATAATGCAACTTTCTGTTTCTTTTTTTGCCTTATTGTAGTTTTTGAGCTAAATAAAAGTCAATTTTGATATAAAAAACCAATAGTCAAGCATGACCGGACTTCAGAAGTTTTTACAATTCAGAGTTTTTTTTCTTTATAAAACAGAACATATGTGTATCACAGTATAAAGATACACCAAGATAACTACGACCTGTAAAATTTCAATGCTATCAGGTTATGCCCACCTGGGTTTTTAAGCAAACCTGTACTTTCATCCCAAAGTAATATATGGTGAATAAATGTACTTTTCCTACACTCCAAAGCTGCCCTGTTCTGTTTTAAAAAGTCACAGCCTCCACAAAAAAAAACTTACAGGTAATCTGACCAAGGGGGATAGCTTATAAGAAAAGTACAGATCTGGCAGCAGGGTAGGGAAGGAAATAGGAGTACAGATGTGGAAGCAGGGTAGAGAAGGGAATGGGGGTACAGATCTGTCAGCAGGATAGAAAGGAGAATGGGAGTACAGATCTGGCAGCAGGGTAGAAAAAGGAATGAGAGTATAGATCTAGCAGCAGGGAGAGAAAGGAATGGGAGAATAGATCTGGCAGCCGGGTAGAAAGGAGAATGGGAATCTGGTGGCAGGACAGGGAAGGGAATGGAAGCACAGATCTGGCAGGAAGGTAGAGATGGGAATGGGAGTATAGATCTAGCAGCTGGGTAGAGAAGGGAATAGGAGCAAAGATCTGGCAGCAGGGTAGAGAGGGGAATGGGAGTACAGATCTGGCAGCAGGTTAGAGAGGGGAATGGGAGCACAGATCTGGCAGCAGGATAGAGAAGGGAATGGAAGCACAGATCTGGCAGCAGGATAGAGAAGGGAATGGGAGTACAGATCTGGCAGCAGGATAGAGAAGGGAATGGAAGCACAGATCTGGCAGCAGGATAGAGAAGGGAATGGGAGTAAAGATATGGCAGCAGGTTAGAGAGGGGAATGGGAGCACAGATCTGGCAGCAGGATAGAGAAGGGAATGGAAGCACAGATCTGGCAGCAGGATAGAGAAGGGAATGGGAGTAAAGATCTGGCAGCAGGATAGAGAAGGGAATGGGAGCACAGATCTGGCAGCAGGGTAGAGAAGGGAATGGAAGCGCAGATCTGGCAGCAGGATAGAGAAGGGAATGGGAGTAAAGATATGGCAGCAGGTTAGAGAGGGGAATGGGAGCACAGATCTGGCAGCAGGATAGAGAAGGGAATGGAAGCACAGATCTGGCAGCAGGATAGAGAAGGGAATGGAAGCACAGATCTGGCAGCAGGATAGAGAAGGGAATGGGAGTACAGATCTGGCAGCACGGTAGAGAAATGAATGGAAGTACAGACCTGCCAGCACAGTTGAGAAGAGAATTGTAGCACAGATCTGGAAGCAGGGAGTAGGGAAGGAAATGGGAGTACACATCTGACAGCAGGGTAGAGAAGGGAATGGAAGTATAGATCTGACAGCAGGGTAGAGAAAGGAATAGAAGTATAGATCTCACAGCAGGGTAGAGAAATGAATGGAAGTACAGATCTGGCAGCTGGGTAGAGAAGCAGGGGAAAACAGGGAGGGGATGTACAGATCTGGCAATGGGGGAATGTGAGGAAGGGAAGTGGAGCTTTGGCAGCAGAGGAGAGCAGGGAAGGGAAGTACCAATCTGGCAGCAGGGAAGGGAAGTACGGATCTGGCAGCAGGGGAAAGCAAGGAAGGGAAAAACATTTCTGGCAGTGGGGAAATGCGAGGAAGGGAAGTAGAGATCTATCAGGTGCATCTGCGGGCAAGCAGCACGGAGGGAACCCGCTGGCAGGAAGCAGCCTGAATGGTCCGAAGGCAAGGTAACAAGGGGCAATCCAAAGAGGTAGTCGAGGGCAATCCAAGGTCGAGGCAGGTAGCAGAGAAGTCAGAGGCAATAGGCGGTCCAAGGTCGGTACACGGGAGGTCAGCAGAGGGTTAAGGAAACTGGCAGGAAGGCACATAGGAGGAGAGCTTCATATGTCACACCATGAGGTGGATTAACTCAGCAATAAGCCAGAGCTCAGGCCAGGTTTTCATAGCCAGGGGAGGTAAGACCACCCCCCGGAACCGAGGCAACCAGGAGGCTTCCCTGGAACCAATGGCAGGCGAGAGAGATGGAAGGTGTGTACTGGGAACCTCCCCCAGCAAGGCTCACACCTGATGCCTAATGGCGCAGGAGCGTTACGCGCGCAGCCTGCGTACTGCGCATGCGCACCCGACTCGCACCCGCAACCCGGGCACCACGAGTTCTACCAAGCTGAGGGGGAACCCGTGCCCTGCGCCGTGCCTGTGGCTCCCGAGCAGGGGTAACACCCCCTGCTTCCTGACAAGATCAGGTAGCTGGGGGATTCTAGGATGGCACAGATATGGCAGTGGGGAAGTACAGATCTCGAAGCTATGATATGTAGGTGATGGAATTACAAATCTGGCAGCAGGGGAGGGAAATACAAATCTGTTAGCAAGGGAGAGCGGAAACAGGAATTGATCTGGCAGCGGGCAAGGGAAGTACAGTTCTGACATCAGGGGAGAGTGGGGAAGGGAACTACAGATCTGGCTGCAGAGAAGAACGGTGAAAAGAAGTATAAATCTGGCAGCGGCGGGGAGTGGGAAAAGAAAGAACAGTCACATTATTGAGCTGTAACTTTGCCCTACGCACTGCATTTCTGAAAATGGCAGTTGAACTTTTACTAGAGATTCTAGGATATATTCACCTGTCAATCTTACTGTTTTCTCTGGGATGCTAATTGAAGAATTACCCAAATGAGAAAATATCACTTAATTACCATTTTATTACATTTCAAGTTTTCCATGAAAATATTTAATAAAAGCCAACGAGAACCATTAGCGGGATTCTGATCTCAATACAGTGAGTCACAAATGTGGTAAACATGCCAAGGAGAAAAACAAATTCACAGCACAGTAAGATTACTAGTATGGGGCTAGTACAATAACAGATTGAGGCACTATTAAAAATTCATTATTTTAATAGCACTTTAATGAATATATAACTAGAATAAATGAAGGTAGTTTATATTTACCTACATTTACTCTTTAACTCTGATGTATATTTATTAACTGAATAATAAAAAAGCAAGCAAAACTCCAAATACACTTATATACACAACATATATGCACTGCCTTGTTTATATAGCTGCAATCATCCTTCATATGTACACTTTAATAAACTTCTCCCCTTGAAGTCAAGTCATTGGATACTCATCCATCTGCTGGGTGAATTAAAGATAAAATGGGTGGTGATATCCTGCTTCCTTAAGCTGGCCATATACTGATTGAATTTCTGTTGTTTCCTGCTGAATCTGCCAATATGTGAATTATGGGCTGCCCAATCAGCTCGGCAAAGGTCGGCCGAATAGTGACTACAGTCAATTGTTGACTGAACAGTGACTGCAGCCAATTAGCTGGTTACTGGCTTTCAGAATACAATAGCTGGAAGGGGAGATTCCTCCATAGAGAAGAGATTAGCCACTGTTTTCTTTCGTTTTTTTTTGCATTCAACACATGTACAGTAAAAAAAAAAGTTAATTTTAATAAGATAAAGGCAATTGATTATTTGCTGGAAGATATTTTCTGGTTGAGGGTATGGTCAGTCGTATTGCTTGCCAAATTATATGATGTTGGAGACAATACTACATTGGCCATGTCACTTACATTTATCTCATAGTATGTGGCCAGCCTAAAGGAGATGTGAAAGTAACAGCTGTACGTTGTAGCTTTTAGTTCCTCACTGTACCACTTTTATTATCAATATCAATTTTTAATATCATGAAACATTGACATATATGAATGTTAGTAATACTGTGTAACATTAACTTAAAGTAGAACTATTGCCTCTCATTAAAACAAAACATAAGGGCATCTGCACTTAATGGTTTTTTTTCCCACAAATATATTTTATATTCTGACTCCGATTGTTGTGATAGCGATATATCCCTTGTTGAGACCTCTATGCCTGGCCTGTATAAACATATTCAATCACTGAGGACATTCATTGTCAGATAGCTGAACTCACCAATACCGTTTCATCCACAAACGTTGCTTTATTATGCACATCAGACAACAGGATACAGCAGATGGATGGTTTTCAGTATTATGCGGTCAAAAGATGATGCCTTTCCTAGCATACTATGCAGAATGCATGTGTCCTTATTACATGTGGCCTGTTAGCTGTGGCCATGACACAGGAAGTACTGACCAACAAGAAGAAGGGTGGGGCATACATACAGTGGAAATGTGTCATCACATGAGGAAAGCAATACATGAAAAACAGGTGCATTATCACGAAAAGCCACTAGATGGCAGCATATAACTTACTATAGAATGACCATAGGAAAATGATTAAGGGAAAACAATCTATATAAAACTATCTACTAACATTAATGTAATAACATATTCTATGCCCCATTGGGGCAGCACATTGTATTTTTATTAAACAAAGGAAGATATTCCAATTACTAATACTAAGGAAATAAAAAGGGAACAGCCATTTCAAGAAAATGAATGACAATGGAAGAAACATTAAACTGTAGTATTGAAATTAGGAAAAAGGAATAAATCAGAAGTGTCCCTAAAAGATAAACACGTACTAAAAGGAGTAAACGGTGAGTAACTGAAATCAACAAGGGATAGATAGCGGGGTCTATAATCTGGATAGAAATCTATCTCCATGTCAGATAAACCAACGTCCCACTAAAAGGCGGGTGACGGTGTACATGGTAAAGATAAGATACACACATGAAAAACATAAGGATAAGTTGCGAGATAAAGGTGTTAGAAGTGTAGCAAAGGAAAAGAGAAGAAGGAGGTGAATGAAAGAGAAAGGAGGAGGGGGAACAGGATTGGGGAGTGTAGGTGAAGAAGAAGACAATGAAAATACAG